AGAGGTGCTAAAACAATCTTTTCCAGCCTCCAGTGGGACCAAGACAGCATCCGTCCATTGCAAACATATTTTTCACATCTATTAGTCTTCCAGTGTAACATAGTTTTTAAATGTCACATGGTCTTGCAGCATCCTAATAGTATCTCTTGGGGAAAATACTTTCCCTGACACTGTATCAGGGATCCTTAGGAATAGAAACAGAAAATATTAGGCTGGTGATCCACCTCCATCTGCGGATTGCCAGCAGCTGCAAGTTGTCAAATAGATGTATTGATTTAATTAGCTGAGCTAAAACTATCGCTTTTTCTATTGAAGCGTGATACAATGAGTTAGGGATGTTTTTTAGGTACCGTGCTGCACAATTCTAAGCTAGCACCTGTAACGGAAGTAAGAAAAAGAAACATTTACGTTGTAGCTTTCAGGGAAGTCCTGTATATTCTATAATTGTACTGCGCAGTGTTTGCACCAGCCTCAAATACTAATTTTCACAAATCCCTCTCTGCTTATCCTTGCTCTTTATGGTAAGCAAGTAATTTTAGTGTGTATGTATGAGAAGAGTAGCAAGGTAGAAACTGGGAAGGGGATAACTGTGTATGTATGAACCAGGTTTTTTTTCTGATCTCCATAACAAGGAGGCTGTACTTCTAACACAGTCAGCTCTCTGAAGCTTTAACAGAGTGTGTTGGGCTCTCCCTGAGGCTTTTAGTTTGATTCCTGGTTTGTGGGGAAGAAACAGGACTTTGTAAGTTTAAATTCCATGTGGGACACTTTCTAGGTTTGTTTGTTTGGTTGGTTGGTTTTTTTTTTGAGCTAGAGTGATCCTTTCTATTCATTTTATTATTCACATAGTACAAATCTGAGAACTCTGTTAGGTATTTCCACCATCAAATCCTTCAGTTCCGTCTGAGTTACAGCTTTGAGAAAGACTTCCAGTATTGATTTTGTAGCATCTCATTAATAACTCTGGTTTTGTTAGCTACTGTAATCTAAATTATTTTCATTTTTGCTGTCTTCCACTTCGTATTCCTTTATGGTATCATCACTCGCTTGGTTGGTTGTGTTGTTCCTGAAGATATGAACTGGCCTTTGGCTATATTTTGATGCAGTTTGTTAGACTAAGGACAACCTATTTAATAACCCAGACTGGTCTGTATAACTCCTTTGCCTCCCCTGTTTACCCCTTCCCTGTCATTGCGCAGAAAGTACTTACACTTTTCCATAGAGTAACTGAAAAAATTGCCCCAGCATGTCTGTGTGACTTCTCTCTCATCTCTTTCATTGCTGGTCTAGCCGCAGACCACATGTCCTTCAAGGCATTAGAATTAGAATAAATCAATTAAAAAAATCAATAGGTTAATGGTGCTTGGAAATCTGCGTAGTTTGAAAGAGCACAATCCAGGTTCTGAAGACAGCCTGTAATGGAGATACCGCAGAACTTACTGTTGTGAGACAAGAAGTGCACCTGACATAGTTAGGGACATTGGATTTACTTCATGCTACCTTTATTTTTTTTTTTGTGATGCCATAGGCCACGGGGTCCCACTTTTGGTTCTGGTCACTCAATCCAAATTCATCAACATCCATTTTAAAATTTGAATATTAAAAAGCATGATAGTGGTGCTGAAGAAAACATACACTCCACAAAGAGTATGGATGCTCGTCCAGTTGGAATCCATGGGAACTGTTGCCATCTTTTACAAAGGTTGCAGGAAAAGATAAATTTGGAGGTTTCTTTATGCTAATTCTGGTACTAATTTAGCAGGCGTGTGTTGCAGTATGATATCTGAAGTTGATAGTGACTTGTTTGGACGTACAAACTAAGCCAATAAAACAGCAGTTTAATTACACATGGGTATTTCTTACACATGGGTATTTTTATGCACTGTATACTGTATGAACAGTTGTAAAGGTGGTTATGCAAAGACCACATTCAAAAATCCAATTCAGGTGTCTTCTCATTACATTTTCAGGCTCCAGAAGGGTTTATTAACTCAGGATCATTGTGGTGGTTGTACATACCTACTGCTTCCAGACCAGAGCTGTACTGTGCTACAGCCAGGTTAATAAGCCCAGGTGGAACCAGTGCTGGAGTTTAAACTTTGGATTAAAGTAGGAGTTGTGCTTACTTGTATCTGTATATTGATACTGAATTTAAATATTAGCAGTGGAATTAGTAGGAATGTTACTAGGGCAGATCACAGGTTCATCCAGAAGTGAGATCTTTTTCAATGGGCATTAATAGATGTGTAAGAGTAAGGCAAGTATTGAGTGGTATTTTGACTAGTGTAGAGAATTCTTGAACTAAATGTTGTTACCCACGTTTTTTAGTTTTAATAAGCCCTTGGTGAACATTGCTTCCCCTGAATTTCTGAAGACTTTTTGAGTTTATGTATACTTCTAATATGAAAAAAGCTTTCCTGTAACGAGTACCAAATTATATTATGCATTTTATTGTGTGACAAATACCTTCCTCTTCTTTGATACAAACCATGTTATGATTTCATAGAATGAGCTATGAGAGTAAATGTTTCGCCTTTTCACTATACGTTCATGATTTTATATATCTCAGTGATGATACTCCTCAGTTTCCCACCTTTCATGCTTTCTCCCATTACATGATTTTTCTTGTCACATAGGAAACTGTTTTGCAGCTCTGACAATTATTCTTTGTTAATCTGAGCAGAAACAGAAAAGGCATCAAGAGAGAGGAGTTGTTCAAGAACAAAATCCACCACACCTTTCTGGAATATCATGCTATGTTGCGTTCTTCAGCTGTTTCTTAGTACATTCTTCTGTGGATATTCTGTAGTCCCT